ACTGGTATTATTTCATTTGTTTTGTTTTCAGTTATTAATGCAATTCTATATTTTGATTTTAGCTAACGTTACTGATGCCTCTACAGTAGGGTAGGTGGCATGCCTTTAGGCCGAAAGGCATGCACCTATCATGTGATCACAGGGAAGATCGTCGTGAATATGATTGGTTGATATGAGAAACAAAATTACGGCAGGTGATTACGGTCCACCCGGGTATTCAACCCGCGGATCAAGAGAAAGAAAGGGAGAGAGAAAGAAAGGGAGAGAGAAAAAAGGGAGAGAGAAAAAAAGGGAGAGAGGAGTAAAAATAGCGTAAAACGGCTTTTTGTTTTTTAAGTTTTTTTTCTTTTTTTTCCTAAGCTAATTTTTTTTAATTGGCTTTTCTCTTTTTTTTTAACCTACTTTTTAGAATTAGACTGCCCACCTGCAGGTGACCTGTAGTAAATTTTTTTCCATTACCTAGTGTTCACCCGGGTTGGGATTTTCATAACGGGTTAGAACACTAAGCACGATTTATATACTAGGGGCATGCCCTAAAAATTTACCGTGCCACCTACCCTACTCTACAGGTAATCATATATTTCACAAGGTTTTATTTCTTATGTCATCTTACAGGCAAATTTGCCAGTGAAATTAAACTAGAGTGGTGAAATAATTTCATCACTATTGATGAAGTTAGTGTTGAATTGGTGAAATTAATTTCACCAGCATCTCTAAATGGGATGGTGTAAGATATAGTTGTTTATAAAAAAATATATATATATCATTATTAACGTAAATTTAATACATAGGTGATGTAAGCGTTATCATTCGCCTAACCCAGCAAGGAACTCAATTTTACCTAGATTCATCATCAAGCGATCAATCTAACTTTGTTAAAAACATGGGTAGTGATATTGCCAAAGTTATTAATTGTGATGTCTCGCGTATTACAATACCGACACATTATCAATATAGTAATACTGATGACAAAATTTTTATGCGTATTAATATCGCCCAAAATGTCCCAAGCGGTCAAGACGATCAAGAAGACAGTAGAAGTGCACCTAGCCTTGCTAATGACTTAAATGAACTGATCATTAACAAGGATATTTCAGTAATTTCCACTGGCGACACCTCTAAATACATTGATCAATATAATGGTGCTTGGCAAATACGTAAGTCCTCATAATATTCATGATACCCATATACTCTTTGTGCATATTTCCATTTATATTAACCAACTATACGTCTAATTAATTTTTATATATACAGCCAACTTATTGGATAAATATAAATTTATCCTTATTGGCGTTTTTGTTGCCCTCGTGCTGTTATTATTACTTCTATGGTACCTTATAAGTCGTGGATGTTACAGGGTGAATAGTCTACATGAATGAATGTTTTAGTTTTTTAAATTATATACTAAAGTGTTTATACTTTTTCATCTTAAAGGAAGATGATCTAAAACAAAAAAGTAGAAAACGTGCAATTCTCAACTTAATGACCGTCTTTGTGCCTACTTTAATATTGGTTGATCTTATATTAGACATTTTATTTATAGTATTTAATAGAAAGGATGAAAAATGGATTATGCCTGTCAGGTTTGTTAAATTCTTTTTAGTAATAAAATATTTTTTGAGATTGTTAATTATAATTAATAAATTAAATATTGACATTGTTTTTTTTCAGTATTATATTCTTAGTAGTTCCCATCATCTCCTGCACTATATTTACATTATTAATTACTAGTCGCGAACTTAGAGAGAATGAACAATATAAGATGTGGTGGCAAGCGCATCGCGAATTGCGCTAGCTTTAACATTTTTATCCGGAATTGATACTGAAGCTTTGAGCTTGGTATCTTCATTAAATGTTCCTTATTCACGAGAGGCAGATAAACGGATTTTTATGCTACCGTTTTTATCATAATTATCGAGGACGTACCTCAATTAATATTCTTGGTAAGCAAATTTAAAAATATTTTAAATAGTATGTTACATAAAAAAAATTCCGCGCCAGGTTTGTCGTTACTTAGTTACGTGGTTACATGACATGCAATATCTCGAGTGGCCAATTTTAAAAATTAAAGGAGGATGTCACAAAAATTGTCCGAATAGTTTATCATCGAGCATATTTCAAATTCTAAAAATAAGTAGATTTTGAAATCGTATTGAACTTTACGAATGGTTAGGTCGTTTTTAAGATATCTTTGACAGCTACGGAATTAAAATTGTCGTATCAGAAGAGTTTTGGTCGATTTAGATCAGGATAATAAACTAGAAAGCGGAAAATAAGAACGAAAAGGGAATAGGTGTTTATAAGAATACGAGTGCAGAAATACGTAATGGAATAATAAAAGACATAATGAATTAAATAGATAAGTGATTCGACTGATGTAATAAAAGCGATAGAAGTAAGCATAATTAGTGATGGAATAAACGAATAAATAAATGAATCCTAAGAGCGAGTACTCAGTGCACGTGCACGACCAATTAAATAATTTAATAATCAGTTAAACGGAACGACAATACAATATATAGAAAAATTCGAAAGTGTGATGATACAATAATTAGGTGAGTAGAGAATTCGATAATTATTTAAGTTGCCATCGGCTCTAACCTGCCTACTAACTAATACTTGTTTGTTTATTAGAGAGATTGAAGTCTGGGAAAAGAAAATTTGGGAGCCTAAATACATGTGAGAATTCTTGCAGCATTAACTTTTAGGTGGAACAACTTACCTTTTAGCTACCTACTATTGACGGCTCAAATCATTTTTCATACCTTCGAGAAAAATTAACCCCTTCGAGATACAAACGCAAAACCCTTCATTGCATCGAAAAAATTTCCTTTTTGTATGCCTATACTCAATACGTATTCAAATCTCTGGGTTATTTCCTTCACGATCAATCGAAAATTGCTTTCCATCAATTCCCTACTACAGTACTATAATTGGAGATAACGATAACGGCAATTAGTACTAAAAAGGAATGGCGTCGATCTATCAATCGTTACATTATGTTACGGCAATTTTCGAGGGTAACATCACTGTAAAACGAGTCATGTACACGTGATAATAGATTGACGAACCTTCGCACAAAATTTTTTCTGCATCTTTGTTATGTAGTGACAAAAAATTAATTTATTTCATTTATGCAGGTTATTTATCAAAAAGTTACTATCATCCCGGCCATTGTTCCTATTCTTACATTATCTTCATGCACAATCCTAATATTTATTAGAATAATACTGTACATCTTACATATCTTAGATTATTCTGCAGACGATATTATCGATGAATAAAAAGTGAGTAAAGACAGTAAGTCACGGTATTTACATTTTTTATTTTTAAAATCTGTCATTTTACAACACTTTGTCAATAGTTAAGAAACCAGAAAAGGTACATACGAGTCAATTTGTTGATATTCTGCGAGTCAATCATTTTTGAAATCAAATTCAAAAGCAAATAACAGGTTTAAATAAAACACTCGGTCTTAAAAAAAAAACAAAGATATACCAATTTTGTATTATAAATTTATTATAATTATTTGAATTGATTTATACCAGCTAAGTTAGTTGAAAAATTGTTGTAATATTACTGTCCTTCGTTACAACCAAGAGAGAGACTTTAGTACTTCGATGCAAATTTAGCTATTGAGCGTATTATTAAGGTATTCAATACTGGCGAAATGAATGTAATTTTTATAATGGGAGAGCAATTTATTATATTGATTATAGGATCGGGCTAAACAATGCAAGAATACAGAACTCAGATAAAATTCCCAAAAGATAACCATCGATCAATGACCCTTTATATAGTTCTATTAGCCCTCTAACTAGTAAGAAAGTAATTATGTATTTGCATAATAATCGCTATTACTAATAAAAGTATTACTTAAGAAAATGTAATAATAAAAAATAATAAAAAATCTATTACGAAAAATTTCATATCACATTGTTTGGTTGATAAGGTTCATGATTTGTAACATCACCAGCAACCTTATTTTGTAGATAATATGTTGCATCATAGTGCTGTTCCTGAGTTTCACGAGGCATCTTATTACTTTTCCGGAATAGAAAACTTGACACTAATGTGTAAATGAGCGATAAAAGAATCAAAGCGAATCCAATGCTTCCTAAATACATAAAAAAATATACTCCATAGCCAGCAATATATCCTATCGCTATATTTCCTATAACAGCTGCGAAAATGCAAATTGAACAAATTACCGAGATCCACATCGCATAATTCGCATTACTGTTATTATTCCAAACAATATAACTAGTTATTGTCAAAGCGAATGAAATTATTAGACCTAAAATACACAAAATAATAATTATTTTATTGGTGATTTTATTTTACGCAATTATTAAAAATAAATATTACCAATAATATGCAAAATTATAATAATGATTGAGAAGCAGCACGCATAACCATTTAAGAAACCGAACATAGAAAGGTTTACTAGAAAGAGAAAAATAAATGAAAAAAAGCGAAAGAATTGCTGCGATAATAAGTATTACTTTACGATCCATTTTGATACTTTAACGAAAAGATAAGTAATATAAATACAGGTCAGTGCTATATTCGTAATAAAAAGTATTAAAATGTTGAAATACATACGCTTATTTGCAAATTCGTTGCAACTTACATTGGATAATATGTGAAGAGTTCTCGGATATTTATAAGAAAATAGGTTAGACAATAATAATTATGTGTTTATAAATTTCCTTATGATTATATAAAGAATTCAATATTTTTCTGCATAATAATTACCTCAAGATTATACGTATAGTTGGTTGCTGCTATTATGCATTGCTGCATATATGATTTCTAGAATTATATCCCAAATGGAAATTTAATAATGATCAAAGAATTTGTATTACGTACGTACATACGTACTAGTGATGAGTAACGCGGGGGAATCCCGCGACCGGGATAAAATTGCCACCCAAAAAGTTTTGAAAATCATGTGATATTGTCATAAGTGATTTTTCCTTCAATTCTTCAAAACAAAAAGCGATCATTGCAACCTCGACAAACCAAGTGATTCTTTTAAAGGTATAAGATTCAATAAACACAATAATATAAAAATATACATCGATTGCTTTAATCACTAATAATAAACGAAAAAAAACTAATGAAATCGAAATAAAATTATAAAGATACTATTATAAAAAGTAGCAGCTAAAATACTACAGAATATGTATAACAGGTATATCAAACTGGAAGCTATAATATAACAGCGATTTCTCTAATAGAAGAACCAATTTGGGAGTCATTAATGTGACTAGTGAGACATGAGGGGAATATGCAGCAAGGGTAACCAAATGGGGCTAGTTGGAATTAAAATTTGGATGATATATGAGTGGGACATGTTAGTTCCAGTAGAGAGTCGACCAGGGCGGTCCCCCCAAAGTGCAGATACACAAGCCGCAGCATATATATAACAATTGCATGTATTTATAACTTGTCAATTGTAATTTTATACTATATGCAATTGTTATATTATAAGCTGCGGCTTGTGTATCTGCACTTTGGGGGGCCGCCCTGGTCGACTCTCCAGTAGATATAGAATATAGATAAAATAGTCTAAGCTTTGAATTAATATAGATTCAAATATATATATAATCATATACAGTCAACCTCCTCTATAGTCACGAGTAACATAGTTATGCTACAAAAATTTGTCGGTGATGTAATATCCGAGCTAATCGGATCAAAATCAGGCCGGGTGCTAGTGTCAATTTTAACATAAACAGTAGATTCTACTGTTGATGTTAAAATCGGTACTAGCACCCTTATCTGATTAGCTCGGATATTACATCACCGACAAATTTTTGTGGCATGACTACATTACTCCTATAGTCACCTCCTCTATAGTCACAAAATTGGTATAATTATAAATTTACTTTTTACCAATTATTTATAACTATATAAGAAAATTCTATGAACTTTTTTTGTTTAATTCTAAAGATTTCTAGAATTAAAATAAAAA